TTATATATAAATAATAATAATTATTATATATATATATATATATATATATAAAATTGGAAATAAATATTGATAAAATTCATCATTTTTTTATTAGATTTAAGTTTTCGAGTAAAATCTATTAACAAAATCATATTACAAACAGCAGAGAGCAGATTGCTGGCAGAAATCTAGTGGATCTCATATAATTTATCAGATTAAAAACAAAAACAAAACAGAGTATATTCTAATAACAAAAAAGAGATTCTATAATTTTAAAAATCATTTTAAATTTTAAATGGAAATGAATATACTGTCATTTATGAACTCTTTAAATAATTATTTTTATTCTTATTATTATTTAGTTTATTATTACTTATATTTATATATTTATTATGTTATAATATATATCTACAATTTAAATTATATTAATAATTATATTATAATTATTATATATTAAAATATATTATATTAATTGTATATTAATATATACAATTTAAATTTCATTTACAATTTTTATAAAACAATGTATTAATAATAAAATTTATATACACTATGAATTAGAACTTTAAAATAATTAGATATTTCAAGAAACGATAAAAAATTTAAAAAATTATCATTGATATAATATATATCAAAAATTTAGAACATTCGAATAAAAAAAAAAAATTGTATATTAATACATGATTTCTGGAAAATTTAGTTATAAATTGTATTAAATTGTATTATGTATGTAAAAATTATAAGTAAATTCTTATAAATATGGACAATTAAAATTTTCAAATATCTTAAATGTTATTGTATTTTATTTTCAATTTTTATGAATTGTGAATATGTTAAATAATTTCATTGATTTAAAATTCTTTTCATACACTTTGATAATACTATTGTAAATATGTTACAGATGATTGATTCATTTTCTCAAATGTAATTTTTTATTAAAAACACTTTTTGGAACTTCTTAAAAAATTTTTAATATACAATCAAGGAAAAAATTTTTGACAAATTAGAGAGATTAAAGGATTTTTGATGGAATCAAATTTAAGACGTGACAATTAAGGAAAATGCAAAATATTTGAGAAAATAAGAAACAATTAAAGAAATAATTCATTGATTAAATTTTGTAGTAATTAAAATTGAGATTTTTTTCTTGAAAAAGAATGAATTAACAAAAAAATAAATCTTTTTAATAAAAATGAATTTTTTTAATAATTTAAGATGAATATTTGAAAATTTTGACAAAGATTATGGAAAACTTAATAAAGAATAAAAATATATATTAGACAGTAATTGTGGCAAAAAGTAACATTAACTATTAATTTTAAATTATTTATAATGTTTAATTATTTTTATTCATCTATAATTAACTAATTTTTTAAAATTTTGTTTACAAAGTTAATTTATTTTGTAGTCTTAAATATTAATTTTAATTATTAATTTTATAATCATCAACTATTTTCATCATTTGATTATTTAATTCTGTCTCTAATTGGATATAAATAAAATTTGCATGTAGCAACTTTCTAATTAATTTTTATTAATTTCTAAATTTATTTCATAATTCAAAAAAACAATACTATTATTATTTTGACAATTTTTTTTTTAATTTTAATTAATTGAAATTTGATATTACAATATTAAATTTTGAATATCTTACTTTATTTTTATATATCTTATTTTATTATTTATTCCTCTAAATAAATTTGAATGGATAAAAGATTAAAAACAATTTGTTATCAAAACTTATATGTAAAATATTTATTATTAAGTTATAATTATAATATTATAATAATAAATTCTAAAAAAATTCATTGTTTTTCTCTTCTTTCATATTCAATCATTATATTTTCTTTAGGAAGATGTGAAATTTTATATTTAATAATATAATTATTATAATATATAATATAATTATTATAATAATATAATTATTTAATAATATATTATTTTAGGTTGGTCTAAAGATACTGTTATAAACTTTTGCAATAATGTTATGAATTTTAGAATTCTAAAGTCAAGCATCTCTAAACAGTTATGTGATTTTTTCAAAAAAATAAAAAATACATTTCAATATTTATTCATTACTTTCTAAATTTATTTCATAATTTAAAAAGTTATATTATTTTTGTTTTAATAATTATTTTTTTTTTTAATTAAAAATGATGAATATTAAATACATATGTTATTGTTTTTTCTTTTAAATTAATTTTAATGATTGATGAATGAATTAAATTAAAAATCATTTTTTTATCATAATTTACACATAAAATATTCATTACTAATTAATTTATATTATAACAAAAAAATTTTAAAATTATAATTATTAAAAGAAAAAACTAATAAACGTATTTAATATTTATTATATATTTAAATGTGAAATAATATTTAATATTATAATAATATTTAATATTCATAAAAAATAAAATATTTATATTTTTAAAAATATAATTAAATATAATTAAAAAAAAATAAAATTAAATTATATTGATTTACAATTAATTTATAATTATATTGATATAAAAGCATTAAATATTTATCTTATTTTATGAGAATTTTTATTTATACTACAAATTTATAAACATTTAAAATTACATTTATAAATATTTAAATCTTCCAAAAAAAATATAAAATTACAAAAAAATTAATAAATCAACACATCACAAAACACAAGATGAACAAGAAAAAATATTTAAATTTATATTCATTAATTTATAATACACATTACACATCATTGTAGCAATTATTAAATTATATTCTCTCTTTATTGTTTCAAAATCATAATTTATTATTCTAACGAATTTTTTCATTTTCGACATTTATAACATTTATAACGATATAATGTTTGTAACTATTTCAACTATTTTATTCAGCATTTGACATTACAGTTAAAAGTAACTAAACATTAAATTGTGTGAAAATAGCTACATAACATCACGCTGTGTTACAATAAAGGACAAGATTTCCTACAAACATCAAATATCGAACGTTGCTATTTCAAGTAACTTCGTCAGACAGAGCTTTATTAATATAAAATATATTTTATTAATATTATTAATATTACTTACTAAGCTTACTAATATTTGTAGATTTTCAGTAATATTTCATTTTATTTAAAAGAATAAAGAAAGAAATTTATTAGAAACAATCATGATAGAAGATGGAAATTTAATTTTAAATTGATTTTAAAAAATAATAACGCGTATATAAAATGTTTTCACTAAAATAAATTACGATTTAGAAATAAATAGCTAGAACATTAAATATCATTCTTCCTCACATTGTCATAACATTAAAATTATTTAATAATAATATACCGCGATATACAGTGAATTTATTTATTAATTATATACCGTGCTATATAGTGATAAAACAGTGTTAAAACAAAATCAAAATGTCATTTAATAAGAATATATCTTAACGATTTCCATGCTAATGAGATGCCAACTATGCAGGATATCCCAAAAATAGAAACATCCATTAATTGAAAATTTCTGAGGTAATTTCAATATTTTCAATATTTAACATTTTTGCAAAAACTTTTATTTTCGTTTTGTTAATGAATTATTAACAAAAACATACTAACTAATCACAGAGTGTATAGTTGAGTGTAGATCCAGGATTGTGGAATGCAAAAATAAAATATAAAATAATTCTTGGCTCAAATTATAATGATCGAAGTTATAATGAATATCAATATTTTAATATCGTTGTAATTTCAATTGTCCAATATAAATCCGCACATTGGATTTGGAATATTTTAAGTCTATTATAATCTATAAAAAAGTAACTTTTTAATCAATGTATTTATTATACATTTTGCTGTGTATAGGAATAGTAAATAAGTGATAATTGCATACAGATGTATATATATAGGAAAAATTTTGTATAATAATAACAATCTTTTTTTTACAAATATTTTGAAAATTAAAATTGAACAATAGTAACATGCAAAGGAAAAATCTTTTATTAAAAATTTTGTGCTCTGCAATATATTCAAAAATCAAAATTGATGAAGATTTATCTATTTTAAGTAATATCGAAAGAAAATTTATATAAACAAACCTTCAAATGCTTTAAAAAAAATTACATAAGAAATATGGAAACTAAAGACGAGTTTGTTATCGATATATCATTACATAATAATATTAACTGTATTTATGTTTAGCATATTGTGCGAAACCTATAGAAAATGACTAAATGAACGTCGTAAAAGATGATCAATTAGTTAAATAACGCATATTCTTTGATTTGAAAGATTTTACATTATTAAATTTTAACAGGCAACGATAAAAATGTGTCGTACAATAGTTAATTCAAAACGAAAAATTCATGATTTAATTGATACAAAAAATTTATGATTTAGTAAACTGAAGCAAAATAAGGTTCGAAAAATAATAAACTAAATTTTTCAAAGGTATTAAGCTTGAATTCGATTTTATTTTGAAATGAAAATATACAGAATTTGATTTTAATTTTCATATTTTTTTGTATAATTTTTTTATAAAGCAATTGAAAGCATTTACATAACATTTATTTCTTCCTTGTAGTCATAGAATATATTAGTAGAATTTATTTAAAATTAAAATATTCTATATAATTAGTAGATTTTTGTAAAAATGAATAATGAATAATGAATTACATTAATAAAAAATATTTTATTAATTAACACTATTTTAAAAATTAAAGTTGACTTCCTAAAATTAAACTTTATATATCAAACTATAAAAAAACTAAATTAATATTACATAATGTATCATTAAATTTTTTTAAACAACGATGAAAAGAAGCTCTTTTTCAATGATTTCAATGATTTTTAAATATATTATAGAAGAAATATATACATATATATATATAGAATTCTAAATTAAATTTTTTATTTAGAATTATACTAGGTCTTAATTTTCGAGATATTTGTTATTATTATGCAAAGTTTCGCCTAGATATTCGTGAAAAAATATACATCAATATATGATTAACTATTTATATAAAAACATCAGTTAATATCCAAAATGTATAATGTGTGAGCTATCATTACACAGTATCTGTCTATGAAGACTTCAAATTCGCCAAATACAAAAACAAAATATATAAAAATGGTAATTATGCAATTTAATTTTATTTTTTCAATTTTAATTATTTTATTATAATTTTTCTTAATTAGTTTCATTTTATTAAAATCTATTAATATACTATCAATTTTATATAAGGGTTAAATAATGTAAGAAACAGGTGAGAGATAATCCTTTTAATTTTACTTATTTTATTATAATTTTTTTTTAAATAGCTTCATTTTAAAGGATAATTCTTTATGAAAAAATAAGAAAGAAATATAGAATAAAATTTTTTGTCCAAGGTTAGTTTTTAAAGTAATCAAGTTTGAATATTTACTATGTTTGGTGTAAAATACAATGTCGATTTTGTTTATAATTAATACTTACAATATTCTATTAATTATTTCAATTGAAATCGAAATTTTAAAAATTATTTTAAAAATATTTTATTAAAAACATTTTACTATGATATTAATATAATGTCCTCACTCACACAATTGTATTGTTTTTGTTATTGATATTTATACTCTTATTCTTCTTTATTAATTTTTGATTTTCATATCAATAAATACAATTAATGCGTTCTATTAAATGATTTATCTTGAATATCTTAAATATTTAGTATTCCAAAAAATACTTTATATGATATCTATTGTTTTTTAGAAAATTTATTAAATTGTATAATAATAATTTTCAAATTTTATTATGTATTATTATTCTAATCGCGTAAATTATTTAGCATTATTTTTTTTTTACACAATATTTTTTTTATGGAATGTAAAATTTGTAAATTTAAATTACATGATACAGGATGAAGTAATAACCGTAATATAACTAGACGAAAAATGATTTTGCATGAAAAAATAAAAAAAAATTGGTGTAATATTTTTTACTCCAAGGTTTCATTTTCCAAAAAATCGATTTTGAAGATTAATAAAATTGGTAGAATCACCATCTATTCAATGGTACAATTAATATTCTACATTATATACATATATGTATATGCAGTTCTTGGAAAAGAATTCAAGTTAAAATAAAACTTATATAAATAAAATATTTCTGAGTAAGAGATAATTTAAAATGATGGTAAATTAGATTGCATTAGATATATGCTACAAGTATTTAAAAATAAATGAGATTACATATTTATCTATGAATAATTTTTGAACAATTATTAATAATGATGCAAACGTGTGAAAAATTGCAAAGAACAAAATGTAAGAATATATTTTTTCATCAGTAGTAAGTATTTTATTATTTTTAAGATTTAATAACTAAATATAATATCATATAACCTATAATATAATAAAATTTAATATATAAATGAAATTAAGTTTTTTTAAATTCTAAAATAATTTATTTACAGATTTCCAAGAAATCCAGAATTAAAATAAAAGTGAATAAATAATAAAATATAATTTTGAGATTCATCTTAAGATATTATAAGATATTATATATTTAAGATTTATGTTCAAAACATTTTACAATTGTTTTGTTAAAAATCCTTGGAGTTCAAAATGATTATTAATTATATCAAATATATTATATGTACTTGAAACACAACATGCAACAAATAGATATATTTAATATTGTACAGAATGAAACAAAAAATGATCGCAGGTTATAATTTTATAATCAATATTTAAACTTAATTTCTATTGTTTTAAATTTATATAACTCTACCAATTTTTTTTAGTTTGAAAAATGATGAATTTGAAAATAATATATATATAAATATATATTAATATATGTTATTATATATATTATAAAATAATATATATATATTGTTAGTACTGATAAAAAAAATATAATATTTGAGAAATCTTTAAAAAAGAATGAAAAGTTTATATTGGCGATTTTAAAAAATTTAATGTGATAAACAAGAAAAAAGATTGTATATACAAGATTATTACAACAATAATAGCAAAAAAAAAAAAACAGACAAATTAAAATATTACAACAGAAGACTTATACAAAAAATTAGAAATTTTTATTCTTAGTGGATGACTTGAGAAATAAACATATAATTACTGAAAATATTTCTGTAATATTTTTGGTATGTATAAATTTTAATGATAAACATAAAAAAATTTTTAATGAAATATCTTTTTATCTATTAATATCTTAATATCTATTTATTATAACAAATTGTTGTGTCTGCATGTCTTACTAATTATTATTAATATAAATGTTTTATATTAAGTTATATATATTAATTATTTTTTTTTTTTGTTTTTCTTTCATTTTAACATCTTAAAATAATTTATCTGTTTCTATTAAGATTTTATTTAAATAAATGAAATTTACTTATTAATTAAATTTATATGAATATATAAAATCAAAATATCCAATTAAAAAAATTCTTTTTTGTGATGTTAATGCAATTTTTTGTAATTTTTACCAATTTTTAAGCTATATCAATTTCATTAGCAAAATTGTATAATGAGGAACTTATATTTTAGTGTACTTCTAATTTTTCTTTTATTTTTTTGATAGTTTTTTTGAAAATATTGTTTTTTATGGTTTCATGATCTTTTAGGAAGAGAATAAGATTACGGAATAAGGTTGGGAAAGTTAAAATTAAATTAAGAAAATTTACAGAAGTGAAAATATAAAAACATAAAAGAATAAAATATAAATAAAAATACATAAAGAAGAATTCTGACTTATACAACAAGTTATTTATGAATATTATTTTTTTATGAATTTATTTCTTTATTACTTTCTATGAAAGTATCTATACATCATATTTTTTTTTTTATTCAAAAGATTTTAATCAATCGTATATGATGAAGTTCATACCAGTGATATTGATGAGTGTTTTTGCAAATTGTGTGTATTTATATATTTTGAATTTCAAGATCAAAATCATTTTTGCATATACTTTTATAAATCTTCACACCAAATCCAGAGAAATTAAATCATTATATTATTTTTTACACATATTTTTTATATACCTTATACAATGTGATGCTTTTTGTTATACAGATGACAAGACATTTTTTGAGTTTTAAAACATATTTCTCAAAATGTTGATATTAGGCTATAACTCTATGATTCAAAAATTTTTTTATATAATTTCAATATTTGAATTCTTTATCTTATCCACTCATTTCTAATGATATCAATTGCATCACTTTCTATTAGCGAATTACAACTCAAATAATTTATATGAGTTACTTAAATTTCAGAATAATAAACTATCTTAAAATAAAAATTCTATATTTAGAGATATTCCATTTTCGGACATCTTGAAGTTAAATGTTTTAATTTTAGTGGATTAACATACAGTATAAACGTCTCATGCAATTGATCATACAATATTTATATTCAATCCATTAAGATTTTTAAAATTTTTTTCATTATATATTCGTTTTTATTCTAAAATTAAAGAGCATTTTTTTCTCAATAAATTTGTTATTGAAGTTTGCCTTCGAAACAAAATTATGAATAAATTTTGATGAAAATATCTAATCAGCTTTTATATAAATCAAGTAAAAATTAACAATTGTTTTTCTACTATTTTTTATAACAAGATTAAAAAATATACTTTGGCATTGATGAAATAAATTTTTGAAATGTCTCTGTCTCAATAGAACGTCCACGCTTAATTCACTCTTTAATTCAGTATTGTTTCTTATAAATATTTCATTTAATAATACGCCAAAGACTTTCACTAATCGAGAAATTAAACAATCTATATGAAAACTTTAATATTTTTTGGAAGAAATTTCTGCTTCATATTTTAATAGTGTGTAATATAGCATTGTCATATTGATAAATATTAAACACTGGAAAAAATTCGTGCCATTTTCTTGTTCTTGCAATGAAACTAAGTTTCGATAAATAATTTGCAAATTTAATGCAATAAAGTTGATATTAACAGAATATTATATTATCTAAGCCATCGCATTAATATGCGTAGTGTTTCAGTTGTTTCACTATTCCCTATTCTCATATAAAATTAAAAATGGATAGTGAAAACGTAAAAATTTTCTTACTTTGTGAATTTAAAGTAAGAAATATTGTAGTAAATGCTACAAAGCGTATATATATGTGGATTATATTAATAAAACTGCACAAAAATTTAAATGATTCAACAAAAGCAATGAATCGAATCGCGTTCTATTTGTTATTAAAGATGATGAACTGCGATAATATTTATGTGCAAATCCACAGAAAAGATGTGCAAATATTGCACAGATATTCGAATATACGGAGAATCTACAACTAAAAAGAAATTTCATTTACTTATTTTTTTGTAAAAAATAGTAAGCAAATGTAATATCTCACGTTATCATGACTGGCCAAAAAATAAAAAGACATTGAATGGAATGATTTGTTTCATACTTCTTACAGTTTTGATTTATCATCGTGACTATTATTTTTTTCTTATTTATATCGAATTTTCTTGCAAATAAAAATTTTAATGATTGTTAATTTGTTAAATAAAATGTGAAATCAATAATTAATTCGTTGAAAATAAATCAAGGAAAAAGAAAAAAGACTTGTAAAAAATAAATGATAATTACTTTATCAAATAAAATTATTTTTAAAATTTTTTAATTTTTTAAATTTTTTATTTTTAAAATTTAAAAAAGTTTTAAATGTTTAAATTGTGACATAGAAATACGCACGAATTTTTTTTGGTAATAAATAAATATATTTAACACAATATTTTTTTTATTCGTATTGAGATATTTTCTTTTTTGCAATATTAATAAATTTTTTCCTTCAGAATCTGAATTATTCGGAATAAAATTTATTATTATTAAAAGTACTAAAAATTAACTTAGAATTTAGAAAATATAAGTGGTGAATAATCAAAATAATGTATTTTTTTATTTTGCATTTAATGTATTTTTCGATTTTGCATAGATATATACTTTATGTGTTAATAAATGGCAAGCATTCGTTATATATATAAATGGCTGTTAAAAGGATATTATTTAAAATGAAATAACTTTTTTTTTTAGATATTAGAAGAATTAGTTTATTGGACAGTTTGTTAAAATTACAAAATTGATCGAAATCACAAAAAAAAAATTCACAGTGAATTTCGATATATATGTGATTCTCATGAATTTTGATGATTTTCTTAATCTTTTTTATTAAACCAAATTTTTTGATAAAAAAAATATTCAATAAAAGATGCCAGAATATTTTTGAGAAACTTTATAGCAATCATAAAATAACTGAAGTTTAATAAGGACACTCGATTGGGCAGCCAATAGCTGTGACCGAAGCTGGAATAAAAAAATTTAAAAAGTAATCGTCCTCGGCTGACATTGCAATTTGAAGAAAAATTTGTTCAATTTTTCGTTCAATTATCATCATCCATAATTGAAATACTATGAAATATATTTCAAGGAATGCGAGTGGATAGATTGGGATTCAATTTTGCTTTTCTTTTTCTTTCAATTTTAAATTGTTTAGTCTTATCTATTGTCAATATATTTATCTGACTTCACACATAAAACTAATTGATTTCATTTAATTTTTTTTTTCTGATTAGCAATTCTACGTTAAAACGCTAAGTTAACGACGATTGATAATATTTTTCAAATTCATTTTTTAAAATCGTGGCCTTTGTCACATCATATGAGACGATTAGAATTATAATAATTTACAGAGATATTATTGATAATTTTTTGATTGAATTTAATGTTTCTTTAATATTATGAGATAGTGGAATATATATCTAAAATGATAACATATTTTATAATTTTCAATTTTCCATATTGATGCAATATGTCTAAATTTTGCATATATATTTATATATATGCTTTTTTCAATAATAAAAGAATATCAACTTTATTTTTTTTTAAATTTGATTCATATGAAAAATAGATAGAACAAAATGA